TAAAAGCCCTCTCCCCAATGTTTTTGCTGTAATCTTTTTGAGGTTGGCATTTTTCATCTTTCTGTGGCAAATAAAAGCTACTTGGGTCCTTGTATTCTACTAAAATAGAAGTGTAGATAGATGAGGGCCTTTTGTACTTGCTAGACAGTGCTTGAGTCACATGACCTAGCCCTTTTTTGAAAGAGGGCCAGACTGAATTTCGATATTCCTATTTTCTTTTCCACATCACTGGGATGACAAGCATGTATCATCTCACATCATTGTGTTTTCCCCATAGACTGGCAAACACCATCACAACAAGATGGAATCTCAAGAACTTTCCCCCCCAGGCTGGTCTCAAAACATGATCCTCCAATCTCTGACAAGTAGGTAGGATTACAATAGAGCCACCACAAACAGTTACAGTTTTGTTTATTTTCTGGTAGTACTGGAATTTGAACTCAGGGCCTCATTCTTGCTAGGCAGGCACTCCACCACTTGAACCACATCTCTAGCCCTACAGTTTTAATTTTAAATTAACTTTAGAAAAAGTTTCTGAAACAAAGCTGGGCACCAATGGCTCATGCCTGTAATCCTAGCTACTCAGGAGCCTGAGATCTGAGGATCATGGTTCAAAACCAGCCTGGGCAGGAAAGTCCATGAGACTTATCTCCAGTAAACCACTAGAAAACCAGAAGTGGCGCTGTAGCTCAAGCTGTGGAGCGCTCGCCTTGAGCTGAAGAGCTGAGGGACAGCACTCAGGCCCACAGTTCAAGTCCCACAACTGACCAAAAAAAGTTTCTGAAACAAAAAAGTTATGTCTTTGAATAAGTAGAGTATAAGAAATAATTCTTTTAGTCTTCTCTTTTATTTTCTATTACAGGAGGCAAAAAAATGGCAAGAGAGAAAAGAAGCCCTGGAGGCTGTAGAAGTACTAGTGAAAAACCCAAAACTAGAAGCAGGCGATTATGCAGATTTAGTAAAAGCATTAAAAAAGGTAAGTGGGAGGTGTTTCAGTTTTGATATACTGGCAACAACACTGACCTTGATTTTTTTTCTTCAGTAATTTAGTGATCTTATCATAAACACAATACCGTGTTTAATGGTGTTTGAATTAAAGGTAATATTTTTAAAGAACTTTAAAAATTGTTTCCCAGTCTTTGTATATTATCATTTTGCTTTTCATATGTTGTTTGCTATTTTCTGAATACCTCTTGCTGACCTAGAACTAAATATTACAGTTTTATAATTCTGTAAGATGAACTATTGAAATAAGCTATCCTAATCTATAGTTACTGAAATAAGCTATTTTAATCTGTAGTTATATGAAGGGTTTTTTTTTTGTTAGATCACAAAGAATACCATACTGTATTATATCATCATGTTACGCAAACTATTAGGGATATATGATGAATTTGTACACACATATACATATTTTTAAAAATCATAATATATAAAGGATTTTGAGACTTTCCAGAAGAATTAGATATTTGGTATTACGTTGAATATTCCTAAAATATTCTTAGTAAATGAAATATATTTGTCAGTAAAAACAGAGTTGAAAATAAAGCATTCTGGTTTGGGGACTAAGAGGCTAGATAAAATTGGAAGTAGAGGCCATCTAGTGAGAAAAGAATTTTTTAAAAAACAAGTGGAAACGCAAGTAAAGTAACTTCTTTTTGCTTTTTGTTTTTGTTTTTGTTCTGCCCTGGGGCTTAAACTCAGGACCTGGGTGCTGTCCCAGAGCTTTTTTTGCTCAAGCCTTGTGCGCTACCACTTGAGTCACAGCTCCACTTTGGTTTGTTGTGGTTAATTAGAAATAAGAGTCTCACAGACTTTTCTACCTGGCTAGCTTTGAACTGTGATCCTCAAATCTCAGCCTCCTACTAAGTAGCAGATATTATGAATGTGAACTACTGGTGCACAGCTAGTAAAGCAGCTTTTTAGCACCAACTCACTTGGTAATTTGCCATCATAATAATATAACCAGGAGGGACTGGGAAGGTTGCTCAGTGGTAGAGTGCTTGCCTTGCGTGCATGAGGCCCTGGGTTCGATTCCTCAGCACCACATAAGCAAAAAGAAAAAAGCCGGAAGTAGTGCTGTGGCTCAAGTGGTAGCGCACTAGCCTTGAGCTGAAGAGCTGAGGGACAGCACCCAGGCCCAGAGTTCAGGCCCCATGACCGGACCCCCAAAAAAAAAAATTTAACCAGGAAGGAACCCAATCTTACCGAATTGACACTGATGCATCTACAGTCCATGAGTTTAGATAAGTGCTGGGCTCTTTGGGTCATACAAGGTCAGTAGTACAAACATGGAGGAAAATGTGCTTAGAGCCTCCAAGTACAAACTTAATGATCATTATGTGAGTAAAATGGTAGCTGCAGGGCTAGAAACTCCCTTAGAGAGAAGAATGACTGCATTGGTGTTTGCAATTTAGAATCCCTATGGACTTCCAGAAGATACCTAAAGTAGTTTTTACTGTGTAAATATTACAGAGCTTCTGCCCAGTAGTGTCTTTCAGAGGTAAACTCTAGGTTTTCCTGACCCAAAGCAGTTAGTAGCCCTTCAGCTTTTTTTTTTTGTTTTTTTTTGGTCTGGTCATGGGGCCTGAACTCTGGGCCTGGGCACTGTCCCTCAGCTCTTCAGCTCAAGGTGAGCACTCTACCACTTGAGCCACAGCACCACTTCCAGCTTTTTTCTTTTTGCTTATGTGGTGCTGGGGAATCGAACCCAGGGCCTCATGCATGCAAGGCAAGCGCTCTACCACTGAGCCACCTTCCCAGCCCTTCCCCTTCAGCTTTTCTGCCATTATCAGTGTTACCCTCTTGCATTTGTATCATATACCATTACTGGAAAGTCAGTAATTTGAAATTGTAGGTTTATATATGTGGGGTTTTTTGTTTGTTTGGTTGGGGTTTTTTGTTTTTGTTTTTTTTTGGGTCCGGTCTTGGGACCTGAACTCTGGGCCTGGGCGCTGTCCCTCAGCGCAAGGCTAGCACTCTACCACTTGAGCCACAGTGCTACTTCTGGCTTTTTTCTTTTTGCTTATGTGGTGCTTGAAGAATAGAACCCAGGGCCTCTGGCATGCAAGGCATGCGCTCTACCACTGAGCCACCTTCCCAGCCCCATTGTTTGTTTGTTTTTGTAACACTTTAAGATACAGTAAACATAATGAAGGGAGAAACAGGAGAATGGTGAGTTCGAGGTCAGCATAGGCTACATAGTGACACTCTTGTCTCCCATACAACAGAAAAAATTTATAATAGTTTCCTAAATTCACTATTATCAAAAAAGAATAAAAGTTTTCCTCTTTTGTAAGACATAAAATTGGCCATCTATTAACATAATGGCTTTCAGAGATCTTTTGAATACATTTTAATACCCTTTGACAAAATTGTGTGGCTTTTTTTTTTCTTTTCTTTTCTCCTAGGTTGTTGGGAAGGACACTAATGTCATGTTGGTAGCTTTGGCAGCAAAATGCCTTACTGGCCTGGCAGTTGGGCTAAGGAAGAAATTTGGACAATACGCAGGACATGTAAGTAACAGTCTTTGCCATTAAAAATGGCAAACTAGTTTGCTTTATGCTTTATAACAACTTTCTAATGTAAATCTTTATATGTTAGTGTAAATTTCTCTCTGCTTTATTAATATGCAGCCTAGCTTCTCGTAAATACTAGATTTGAAGCTATAAAAACTTCCTATATAGAGTGTCAGGCACTTTAAAATATGTAATTGAGTTGATTTATATGCTTAGTATTTACTTACAAAGATCTTGCTTCATTTTGGTGACTATACATACATAGTAAGTAAAGTTCATAATAACCAACGGATTAGATAGCTCATGAGTAGAACACGTGTTGAACATGTATAACACCTTGGGTTTTAGCCTCAGAACCTCCCCTGTGAAAAATACAAACCAGTTTCTAGTAACCAGTACCATAACAAAAATGTGTATATGAAAACACTAAAACTCTTAAGTGTGGGGAGGGTAGGAGATGGGAGGGCAGGGATGGTAAAGGGAAACAAAGGAGACAGCAATAATGCTTGATAAGAAATGTACTCATTACCTTGCTCATGTAATTGTAACCCCTCTGTACGGTATTTTCACAATAAAAAAAACTTAATAAAAAAACTTTTATTTATTTATTTTTTGGGTCAGGTCGTGGGGCCTGAACTCTGGGCCTGGGCGCTGTCCCTCAGCTCTTCAGCTCAAGGCTAACGCTCTACCACTTGAGCCCAGCACCACTTCTGGCTTTTTTCTTTTTTCTTATGTGGTGCTGAAGAATCAAACCCAGGGCCTCATGCATGCAAGGCAAGCGCTCTACCACTGAGCCAACTTCCCAGCCCAATAAAAAAAAACTCTTAAGGGAGGTTAATATAGAAAATGTTTTATAGTGTTAACCTTAAAAATTATATACTTGAAATATTTGTGTATAATACACTTGATAATCTGTGTATTTGAAGAATATCTAATGACAATTTCTGAATATACAACATTTTTGTTGGTAGTGGCATTTTTGTTGTTGTTTTACCAATACTAGTGCTTGAACTGAGGGCCTGGGTGTTGTACCTTAGCTTTTTTGCTTAAAGCTGGTTCTCTATCACTTGAGCCATAACTGCACTTCTAGCTTTTTGGTGGTTAGTTGGAGATAAGAATCTCAAAGACTTTTTTTTGCCTAGGCTGGCTTTAAACTGCCAACCTCAGATCTCAGCCTTCTGAGAGCTTGGATTATAGGCTTGAGCTACCAATGCCTGGCTGATAATGGAATTTTTAAACACAGGGTCTCTTGTTTGCTTGGCTTACTTGGCTAGAGCTCTACCACTTGACCATACTTCCAGTGTGCTTTTTCTGGTTATTTGAGATTACAGTTTCACAAACTTTCCTTCCCAGGCTGGCTTCAAGCCATGATTTTTAGATCTCAGCCTCCTGTGTACCTAAGATTACAGGCATGAGCCACCAGTGCCTTGCATGATTTTCTTTGAATAAGTATGGTTGCGGAAAGTTTAATAATAGAGTTAAATGTTCACTTTGGCACCAAATATATTAAAATTAGAATGATAGGGAGATTACCATGGCCCATGTGCAAGGATGGTATACAAATTCATGAAACATTCATATTTTTTGATAACTGCAAAAAAAAAAAAAACACTAGCATTAAGGAGTTGAGATGCTTTCTTTAACTATGGAAATTATCAACTGACCTCTTAATCTGATCTGAAATACTTAGAATGGCTTAGTGTCCTAAAAATTGAGTAACTTAAAGAGTTATTTGACTTCCTTTAAGCTATTTGACTTCCTACACTGACCAAAACTGTTTTAATAGTTTCTAGTTGTGTCAGTTTTATATTATGAAATTAACGTGCAGCCTCACTTGAGCTATGGTATTTGGAGCTTGCTTACATGAAATATAATTTCTGAGAACATACTTCACAAAAGTAAACACTACCAAATAAAAATCATATCTATCATTAAGCCAGGCGCCAGTGGCTCACGCCTGTAATCCTAGCTACTCAGGAGGCTGAGATCTGAGGATCACAGTTCGAAGCCAGCACAGGCAGGAAAGTTCATGAGGCCCTTATCTCCAAACCCTATCTCTATAAATTTGACACTTCATTTAAGCAGAATCCTACTCTGTGGTCATTTGTGACTAGCTTCTTTCACCCAGCATAATTTATGAGATTTTGTTTCAGCTATGTTATAATGTATCAGTAGTTCATTCTTTTTTATTGCTGAGTATTACTCTAGCTGTTCACTTTTACAGGTTGTACCAACCATTTTGGAGAAATTCAAAGAAAAAAAGCCTCAAGTGGTACAAGCCCTGCAGGAGGCAATTGATGCAATTTTCCTTACTGTAAGTTGCCTGCTTGAATTTGTGGTTTTATGTAAAGTAAGTTTTGTCATTGTGATATTTTTAATAATTACAATTTTAAAAAGTGCATTAACCACATTTTCTTCCTAAAGACCACATTACAGAATATCAGTGAGGACGTTTTAGCAGTAATGGATAATAAAAATCCAACCATCAAACAGCAGACATCTCTTTTTATTGCAAGAAGCTTCCGTCACTGCACTGCTTCTACCCTGCCAAAGAGCTTACTGAAGCCCTTTTGTGCTGCTCTACTTAAGGTACAGACTGTCAGTGTAACTGGGATGATACTTTATACCTAGGCAGAAAATTTTTTCCTTACAATAACTATGTAACTTCATGATATAGATTATGCTCTTTTTAAGAACAGACCTTCCTTAGAGTACCTTAGTGTGTTTCCATTCTTCAAGGAAAAGATAAGTTAGCTTTATGACTTTATGATTCTACTAATTGCTGAATATTTTGTTAAGTTGGCTACTTAGTGGTATTCAGCTAGATATAGCCAAATGTCGACATCAAATCTGGATTATTTGAAGATTGTGTGGAAGAGAGACATTATGATAAAATGAAGCTAATTATATACTTGCTGTATTAATACAGGTGGTTTCTTTAATCCAGAAAGAATTTGTGAAAGAATAACTTAATTGATAATTAACTTCAGTAAATTAAAAAAGGCAAATTCTTATCCAACAGATAGTGATCTGAGTTAAAATTAGTAATACCTCAGGTAGTCTATATTAAAGATCATTTTGCTTACTTCTGGAGTATAGCACATCAATGATTCTGCTCCTGAAGTCAGAGATGCTGCATTTGAAGCATTGGGTACTGCTTTGAAGGTGGTTGGTGAGAAAGCAGTAAATCCATTCCTAGCTGATGTAGACAAACTCAAGCTTGATAAGGTAGGTCAAAAGCAATTTTTATAATGAAAGTGAACAATAAAATTGTGGTTTTGTATTGTGGATTTACTGCTTAGAAATTTGAAAATAGGCCTGGGAAGGTGGCTCAGTGGTAAAGTGCTTGCCTTGCATGCATGAGGTCCTGGATTCTATTCCTCAGTACCACATAAGCAGAAAAGGCTGGAAGTGGCGCTGTAGGTCAAGTGGTAGAGTGTTAGCCTTGAGCTGAAGAGCTGAGAGACAGCACCCAGGCCCAGAGTTCAGGCCCCACAACTGACAAAAAAGAAAGAAATTTGAAAATACTGATACCCATTTGATAAATACTTCTAACTGTTTTTTGTTGGTGTTTTGTGTTTGTTTGGTTTAGTTTGGCTTTTTGCAACTCAAAGTAGGAAGAAGCCAGGCATAGGTTGCTCACACCTTTAATTCTAGCAACTCAGGAGGCTGAGATTTGAGGATCTAGGTTTGAAGCCATCCCAAGCAGGAAAGTCCATCAGAGTTTTATTTCCAACTCATCTCTAAAAAGCTGGAAGTGGAGCTATAGCTCAAGTGATAGAGCACTAGCCTTGACCTAAGGGAGAATGCTCAGGCCCTTAGTTCAAGCCCCAGTACCACATATACACAAAAGTAAAGTAGAAAAGAAATTTTATATTGCACAATGCAGTTTTTAGAGGAGAACTGTGCTGAGGATTGAACTCCTGCTGGGGATCTTGCAAGTACTCTTTTGAGTCATGCCCTCTCCCTGCCCGGCCCTTTTATTTTTATTTTACTGAGGATTTTGCTGGACTGGTGTTGACTTTGTGATTCTCCTGCTTCTGCCTCCCTAGAAGCTCAGATTATAAGCATGCTCCACTACTCCTGGTTCTCTTATCAGTTGTGTGTGTTTTGTTTCACTTAGGGAAAAAAATGCAGATAATCACCTCATAAAATTTTATTTTATGCTCCACTGGTAGTTAAGACTTGAAGTTTGAAAATATAACTTTTGAAGATATAAATTTCATTATAGGCTGCAGTGGTGTTGTTAGTAGAAATACTGTTCTAATTATAGCCAAACAGAATTTGAGTGACCAATCTGTAAAAAAACAGTAACCTGGAATGTGACCATTTAAAATATAATCTTCCATCAGAGCTATGGCTATTGTTTATCAGAAATCTTAATTTGTGAAGAAATAAAATGGACTGCCAAGAAGGTCAAGATAATTTTTATATTTTTTGAAAATAAACTTTTCTCAATTCTCATGCATAGTTGAAAAAGGCATCCTTTCCTCCCTCCCTCTCCCTGCTCCCCCAAGTTTTGGGGTTTTAACGTGGGTCTAGCAGGCTCTGTACTACTTGAGCCACACCTTATTCTTCCTGCTTTCTTCTTCCCAGAAATGACTTACTAAGAAATTAGTGGTCGTGTTTAAAATTAACTGCAACATAGTGATGTTTATCTAACTTTCATTCTGCAGATCAAAGAATGTTCGGAAAAAGTGGAGCTGATACATGGTAAGAAAGCTGGACTTGCAGCTGAAAAGAAGGAATTCAAGCCTCTTCCTGGAAGGGCTGCTGCTGCTTCAGGGGCTGCAGGGGACAAGGACACAAAGGACATTACAGCACCAAAGCCAGGACCCTTAAAAAAGGCACCTACTGCTAAGGTTAACAGATGGTTTAAAAATTAGAATTTAATAATGTAGAGTCTGAGTGTCAGGTTCATGGTTGTTCTTCCAATGTGATTTTCAGAGATATGTCGTTGAACACCTTGAATACTTGTTAATGAAGACAAAGTATTAAAACAATACACTTGGCTTTTTAAAGCCTAATTAGAGTTAAAAATTGTATTGATCTGGGAGCCAGTGGCTCATGCCTGAAACCTTAGCTACTTAGGAAGCTGAGATCTAAGAATCTTGATTTGAAGACAGTCTGGGCTGGAAAGTCCACGAGAGTCTTATTTCCAGTTAACTACCAAAAGAGCTAGAAGTGGAGCTGTGACTCAAGTGCCTTGAGTTCAAGCCCCAGAGCTTGACTCCCCTAACCCCCCCCAAAAAGTACTTTTTCAGATGTATGGTAAATATAACAATCTTAATTTTTCAGACATGGGTTTTCAATTCAATAGTATAAAACATATTTGTAATAAATGAAATGTTATCAAGACCCTCCTTTTTTTTAACTTTTTAAAAATTATTATTTAAGTAGTTGTACAAAGAAGTTCCCATTCTACAAAACAGTGTATGAATACAAGGTGTCTAACAACATTGTCAAGACCCTTTTTTTCTTATGAGACTCGTCAGAATTTTATTTTTATTTATTTATTTTTTGTCGATTGTGTTGTCCCTAAGCTTTTGTGCTCAAGCCTAGTGCTCTACCACTTTGAGCCATAGCTCCATTTCCTTTTTTTGGTGGTTAATTAGAGCTAAAGAGTCTCATGGACCTGCCTGGGCTGGCTTCGGATCAGGCTGTGATTCTCAGATCTCAGCCTACTGAATAGCTAGGATTATAGGAATGAACCACCAGCACTTGGCTTTCCTCCTGAGCTCCTGTGTCTAAACACTAATTTACATTCAAAACCTGTCTAGCTGGGCACGTAGCTCATGCCTGTAATTCTAGCTACTGAGGAGGTTGAGATCTGAAGGCTCACGGTTCAAAGCCAGCAAGGCCAGGAAAGTCTGTGAGACTCCTGTCTCCAATTAACCACCAGAAAACAGGAATGGTATCAAAACAGGAATGGCTCAAGTGGTAGAGTGCTCACCTTGAGCTTCATGAAGAGCTCAGGAAAACTGTCCAGGCCTAGAGTTCAAGCCCCACGACCAAAAAAGAAACAAACAAAACTGTCTAGATTTCTTACAGTATTCCACTTGGTTCTCATATTTTCAAACCCTCTTCCCTAAACTAGCTAGTCTTCTCTTATTATGAGGGAGTCTTTAAAAAACAAACAAGAACCAGGTGCCAGTGGCTCACTCCTGTAATCCTAGCTACTCAGGACACTGAGGTCTGAGAATCATGGTTCAAAGCCAGCCCCAGCAAGAAAATTCATGAAACTCTTATCTCCAATTATCATAAAAAAAAAGCTGAGAGTGTAGCTGTGGCTCAAGTGCTCAAGTAAAGCACTAGCCTTGAGCATAAAACTTAAGGAACAGCACACAGGCTCTCAATTCAAGCACTAGGATCAACCCAGTAAAAACAATTTTTTTTCCTTGCCTTATTTTTTTTTCCTCCTTGGTACAAGATTTGAATTTGGGGCCTGGCACTTGCTCATCTGGTACTCTATTCACTTGAGTCACCCCTCCTGTCCTGCTTATAAGTTTGGGCACTTCTTAACAAATACAATGTGAGCAGAAAAAAACTGTGAGTAGTGATGTGTGTTATCATTATACTATCATTG